GATCTTTCTAATTTATTTATAATAATATTACTATATATTTAAATAGTTTAATTTTAATAATTTTTTAAGTATATTTTAATCTTTTCATTTAAAATTTTTGAATTTCTATTTTTTAATTTTAATAATTTTTTAAGTATATTTTTTGTCTTTTTGTCCTAAATTTTTGAATTTCTATATTTATAATTTTAATAATTTTTTATTTATACTATTTCTTAATTTTTCTTTTTTTTTTAAATATTTTATAATATTATTGAAATCTTATAATTTTAATCTCTATAATTTTATCTTACTTTTCATTTTATAAATATAATTTAGATTATTCATTTTATAAGTAAATTAGTTTTTCTTTTAATTTTTATAAGTTTACATAAAGAATGTATTGAAACCCCTCAATCTTTGAGGGTACCATAGCAACTCTCTTATTATTTTTTCTCTTTTTTCTCTCAATGGCTTGATATTCGAAGATCTTTTATTATATAAAATATTTCTTTGCTGTTCAAAAAAAAAATTATTATTTAAAAATATAAAAATAAAATTATCAATAAAAATGTATACTTTGAATGAGATTAATTATCACTTTTATATATATTATACATAATAGAGAAAAAAAATTTGGGAAAGACAAAATGGAAACATGGTGATTTGCTTGAGTGGAAAGAGAAAAATGAAAGCCAAACCCTTGGGTTTGGGAAAGATGAAATTGTTGCCACCATCAAAAAGGTGAGTGACGAATAAAGGGATTGGGAGGTGGTGGTTCCTAGTTGTTAGATTGTTGGGAAAGAAAAAAGATGGTTAGGAGATGTGGGGGGTGCATGATAATTGTTGAAAACCAGATAAATTTGATATGGTTTTTATTTGTAGTGTACCATAGACTATGATGAAGTGGTGTACTCTAGAATTGGTCATATTACATCTATTAATTTCTTTTTCTATCTTTTTCCTTTCTTTCTAGGTGTTGACTACAATGGACAAGTATTACAAGTGGTTCACCGATGAAAAGTCAAAAAGTTACTATAATAATTAAGTAATTATTAAATGTTTTAAAATTTTAAAAGAAATTATAATTAAATCCTTTGGATAGAATTTTTTAGCTCTTATATTAAATATATATTCATGGTCATGAGTTACCCAAATTCTTTTTGGGTCACCCAAATTTTAGCTCTCATGATAAAAAAATATATTAAATATATCTTCTAAGAGTGGATATACAAACCGGTTCTCTACTAGCATATTGTTGAATAAATGGTAAAGGCAACAATAAATAAACTTGTAGAGAAATGTCAAGTTGCTCCAGTTACAACCAAAATCACATCTCTCTCCCTATCATTCCCTGACTTACCTTATACACGTCTACCATAAGGTAAATGCTATTTTTTTCTTCATCTGAACTACTGCTACTATTGTTGCTCATATCTTCCCAAGTGGCCATCAAACTCTTCTTGGCCTTCTTATTGGTCCACCCTTTCTAAGTCAAGCACATTCAACCTTCATATGTCTAGGCTTCTTACATTCATAGCAGACAACCTCCTTGTTATTGTTCTGATTAGGTTTCTTGAACCTATCCTTCTTCTTATGGAAGTTCCTCAATTTTTCTTTTTTTAACATATCTTTGAACTTCTTAGACTTGAGAGATATCTCATTGTTTGTGAAGTTCTCGTAACTTTCATCTGAGCTACTAGTCTTAGACTCAACCTTTAAAGTCTTCCCTTTGTCTCTTCTCTTGCTAGTTTCATCACTTCTTAAAGCAACAAATTTGTTGATAAGTGGACCAAGTTTCGCGTAGTAATTTAAGATATTTTCATCGAGGATTTGGAGATATTATGTAATTTCCTTCCTAGTTTAATTTGTATAAAAAACCATACATAATTATATTGGGAAGATCATGTAAATAAAATAAGTTGCAAATGAGATGTTTAACAAAATATTGATTCAACAAGTGATTCCTATGCAAGAGAGAGATTGGGGTATTGAATGTACTTTCACAACACTTATGTTTTCCAATGAATCTTCTATATGAATTCAAGTTTTCATATTTCCACATCCATGTGGTCACTCAAACTAATTCCTCAAGCTTGAATCTCTAAGGGTTCAACCTTGAAACATGATTCCTCAATGATCAAGATTAAATCCATGTATTAATTAAACATAAGGATGAAAATGACTAACAAATCTAAGTCTACTTCAAGCACAAGTCATTGTTAGGTGAAATGATCTAGACCAAGTTTAGAAAATATTTTCCAACAAGATTCAAAACTATAGATCAAAAGACGAGTGATCAAATTGACTTAAGTATTGAGATCAGAATCACAACACAAATATGTCTATGAAACTACACTCCCTTCTCTCAAACGCACTCTCTCTCTTACCCTTCAACACTTTGATAAGCGCATCAAGTCTGCACCCATTTGGAGCAAAGATTTCATTGTTTAAATTGATATTGGGCTTTAGTTTAACTTGCTATTTTCTTTGTTGTTGGGCTGGAAATTATGTTTACTGGAGCCCAATTTGTCTATTGCTATTTAGTTGGAACAATTGAATGAAAAGTCAGGATATTACTGGATTGAAAAATCTTTCTTAGGGTTCTCTTAGTGTAGCTTCTCTCTAGTAGCTTATCAAACAGCGTGTAAACCATGAGTGCATGAATGCACTTAAGGAGAAACCCTTATTACCCTGTTTACTCTCTCAACAAAAACCACTGTCAACTAACATATTTAAACAAACATTCTAATTTTCTAATGCATAATTTTAAGAATTGAATCCAAAATGCAATTGCAGAAAGGGAATAGCATCACAATCTAAAAGTTATGTTAATATTTTAACCACAGTAACATTGTTACAACTGCCAGCCATTTCTCAGAATCTAATGCTTCTTTTAGGTATAAATAATAGATTATAGACTTTTCCCATCTTTTTCTACTTTTCCTTATTTCCTAAGCTTTTGTTGCTTTGTGTCAAAGTCTACCTAGTTCTTTTCCTAGACTATGATAGTAACAATATAGTCATACACTTTCATAAATATCCATCATAGTTTAATTAATTAAGTTTCCTAAAAGATCCTAATCTCCATCAATCATTGCAAGTCACCTTGACGATTGCCTATATTTCATGTCTGATTACCTTATAAGCTCTTAGAAAGAGCACAAGAACATAACTTTGTGATCTCAGTTAGAAAGACAATACTGTTATTACAAAAAGAAGCTCTAGGAGTTTCAACGTATGCATATGGAGCTAAATAGATATTAATCTTTCTTACCAAATATGGAACAATAAGAGAAAAAAATGGCACTCCTCTTTTCTACAAGGAAAAACATATCACACAACACTGCCCAAAAATATATACAATAATGGGATTCAACAACCATAAAACTATAGGAGAAACTTATACAAACTTCTTGATGAGATTTATCAAAAAAAAAAAAAAAAAAACGGAGAAAGAACAAAAGGAGAAACACTATCTTCTCCACCAGTCAGAGAGATTAAGGAAATCAAAATTGAAACAAAACAAATCAACAACTAAACGAATAAAAAGCAATGAAAGAAGATTACGATGACGAGCGCATTAGACATTAAACACGTACATGAGCTCTAAAGACAGAGTATGAATATCAGAGATCAGAAGATACTAAGAGAAGAGAAACGAGGGTGTTGAGGTTACAGAGAAGATAATGACTAATATGAGGAGAAAGAGATGGCAAAGTTTTTCACTCATTAGAATTAGAATCATAGAAACAAATGATTTTTTTAGTATATGGTTCAGTTAAACATGTTCCATTGAAAAATTGGCAGGAATTATTTAGTAAATATTAAAAATAATATATAAATTTGAAAAGAAACGCTTGTGAGTTTTTAATTTTAAAAAATACTTATTTTTTTTTTTCGAATTTATATTCTTATGAAAATTGGCAAGAAATACAAAATTTTCCTAACAATTTTGTTGTGGATTTAAATCTGAAAAAAAATATAATAAATGAATTTGCAATAAAATTGGCAAAAAATTATTGCGAAAACTTTTCTCAAAAAGATCTGCAGGTAATTACACTATTTCTAGTGATCACCTGCCAAACTTTTTTTTTTTTCTTCCAGGAAATGAAAACTTCATCCACATCCCCATATTTTTGAAACCGTGACATATACAAGGGAAATTTGTAAATAAAAAAATGATAAGAATAGGGTGAATAAAATATCAATTTAATTCCTCAAAATATATATAATATTATTATATTATTCCCTGAAACTAAAAAAATAAAAAATAAAAAGTCTGAAAGTACAATTTATTTATCACATTAATCCAAATATAAAAACTTAAATAATAATATTGATACATATTTCTGAATAAAATAATATTAGAAAGTATTTAAATTTATTAACTTCAATCATGATTGTCATCATCTTTAAAATCTTTTCTATTTAAAAAAAATGAAAGGAATATGCATTGGTTTATTTTGTTTATTGCAATACCACTGTTAAATGGCAGGTTCGAGACATGACAATTTTCTAAATTCTTATCCAAACCAACAACCACAACATTAGAAATTTTTATTCTGATTAGTTCCAACAGTAATTAAACATAACTTCATTACCATCACTTCACCCTAAATAAAAAAGAAGCAATACTGCATGTCACTCTTTATATTGTGCATGTGCAAACATTACAAAGCGTGAATTAATTAATAAGAGGGCACAATCAGAATCAACGCACACAAACATTATTTAAGATTTTAATGTTACAAGCCCTTGGTCAATGGCAGCTGAAATGTAATATTTAAATTCCTCACTTCTGACTACCAAGCCAAGCTCTAATCCACCTTCCTTGTCTCCACTTTCGGCAAAAGACACACACATACGAGGATGTACCATCTCCACTTTCGTAGGTTTTCCAAATCCAAAGTCAGTCTCATAAACAGTGAACTTAGGTGATCCTGTAACTATGGCTATTCTTCCCGATAGAAACATCATAAACAATTCCTTCCAGTTTTCTGCACCTTTCAGAGGTTCAGTTTTCATATCAGTTATTGTCTTTGCAATGGCCTTCACTGCGTTCATAAAACCACCTTCTCCCTTTAGGTCTTTTCTCTTTAGCGCTACATGACATATCGTTAAGCAATTTCCGAAGTAAGTCGCTGGTATCGGATACTCAAGTCGATCTCTACAATCTGCTGCAAAATGGAAGTACTCTTCTTTCATCTCTGCTACTTCATCATCATCCTTTCTATATTTTGCTTTAACCAAGCTAACCCACATGAAGGCACACGTCACCACAAATTTTGATAGATATTGCGGCGCTTGAAATTCGTCATCTTTTTTCCACCGATTCAACGCCCATTTTTTCATGCTTTCAATATCATCTCTTCCAAAAGTAATCGTTGCCTTAACATAGTCCTCATCATCAGCTCCATGTTTAGGAATTGGACCGACCTTCCATGTTGACCTCGCTTCAAAGTAGTCTCTCAAGAAAATGGTCTCGAGTCCTTTGGTGTCTCTCAACACTTCCCTATCAAAGCACGGTGGTGAGTTCTCCAAAAGTGTCAAATCAACTCCACCACTTCGACAAATGGAAGACCAAGTCTTCATGAAATGGCTGCAACACCTATCATCCATCACGTGGCAATATGTGATCGCAATGCAAAGGCCACGGTTGGGGAAAACCGTGACTTGCAAAGCCAACAATGGGAAAACAAACGTGTCATCATCATGCATGGTTGTGCATGTGTAACGAGCATAAGGCTAAGGAGGGGAACCATCCCTCAAAAGCCGGCCCAAGAGGTTGGAGAACCTCCCGCCTTATAAGGACTCCTTGGTGAGGAGACCTCCCCGATGTGGGACTTGTTACATTACCACCCCCTTCGAAAGCCAGCGTCCTCGATGGCTGCACTCCACGGTACTTCACTCACCGGCACTTCACTCGGCCTTCTTGCCGGTCAGAACCCTCCGATGGTCAGAACCCTCCGTGGGTAGCCCTTCTCGATTTGGCTGGCTCTCAATGAAAGCACCATTGTAACGAGCATAAGGCTAAGGAGGGGAACCATCCCTCAAAAGCCTGCCCAAGAGGTTGGAGAACCTCCCGCCTTATAAGGACTCCTTGGTGAGGAGACCTCCCCGATGTGGGACTTGTTACAGCATGCCGAGTTGGGAACCAATTGATCCAAGTCTTTGAGATTTCTGGGTTGGTTGGATGAGAGGTGGCGGTCGCTAAGGCAAATAGCGACCGATTTTAGCAATTTAGCAATTTTGGTGGTCGCTAATATATATATGGTTCAAAAGGATTTCACAAGTGTTGGTAGTTACATTCAAACTTAATCCAAGAGAAATTAGTCACTCAAGATGAGGACTCTAGTTGATACAAAGATGAATAATACAAGAAGAAAGAAGAAGAAAATGGAGAGGGTAAAGAAACTTGTTCCCACAAGATATTTACCTTCCAAAACCTCCTTCAAAGATCATTTCTCTATCTCATGGATTTTCTTTTTTTATCTCACATTTTTCTTGTTGATTTTCTCCGCATGCTTGTTATTTACATGATCTTTAAAAGCAAGAAAAAGCTAGAAAATTTTAACTCCATTGCTACAGCCATGGATCACCGCTACAATGGTGAGGGTTTAAGATTGAAGAATGCTCCCATATCTTGGGCATTGGTTAAGCGCTACAACGCTGAGATCCCCTATTCTTGGCTTCTTCTAGATTTTCACCCCTAAGGTCATAGATCAGCGCTATAGGGTTGATTCTCTTACTTATTCATTCTTTCTCTATTCTTCACAACTGCAATCATGAATGAGCGCCATGGCATTGGATTTTTGACTTTGTTGCATTTCCTACACGAAACAAAGAAAATTTAATTATAAATTCACCAAACACTATTTAACTCTTTCCTTTGAATTACTAATAAAATTAAAGGAGAATTATAATAAAATGTACACAATAACTTTAGAAAGAGTGCTAAATGTAAAATAAAATCACATATTCCATGCACTCATCATGTTGTTCATATATATGCATTGGATGAGTATATATTGTTGTTTGATATGATTGTGGTGATTGTTTGAATGTTTTAGCTTTCAAACATGGTGATTGTTGTTGGATGTAAATTTGCTTGGTTTGCATGATGGTGTTAAGTATAAATGCTTTATTCCTATACTTGCTTTCTTTTTAAAATTTAATTTATCTTTGCATGTTTTTCATGTGATTTGGACTACGATAATCATGTTTTTCATGGAAGTAAGACAGGATTAGTTGGAACGAGTTTTTGGGAGATGTTGCAGGACCATGTTGACAATGTAGTCGAGAACTATTCTTTTGTTGGTCTGTATATAAACGTTACTTGACTGACAACTTATATTTTATACTATTCTTTTTACTCGATGAGTGTAATATATTGTATATATTTATAGCTATTTTTAGTTATACTTATATTTATATACATGTTATAATGTGCATAAAATATTTTAAAAATAAAATATTACATATGTTAATAGCTCCACTGTTAGTTGATGATTTAATGAAGTATAATGACTATGACAAGTTGTTACATAATACTAGGGGTGAGCATTAAACCGACACCCGAACCGAACCCGAAAAACCCGAAAAAAAATATTGCTTTTGGGTGGGTTCGGGCGGGTCTTATGGGTAAATCGGGTTAAAATTTTGATTTTATATGGGTTATATTGGGCGGGTTCGGTTTTGAATTTTTAAATCCGCTAAAAACCGAACCCAACCGAAAATGAGATAAGTTTAAATTTTTATTACTTTTGTATAACTAAACAACAATGGTCCAAATTTAAAAGTCTTTATTTCAAGTATAATATAGCCATCAATTTGTAACTTATTTTTTTCCTTTTTCTCATAACTTAGATATTTATTTTGTCTTCTCCTTCCTCATTCAACTTCTCAACACACTAGTCCATTTTTAGAGTTATCTTTTTGCTTCTTTCTTTGTCTTTCTTTTCCATCTTCTTATCTCCATTTTGAGTACATTTTGTGTGACTGTGATTTCTTATGGTTTTGTAATCTAACTTTATATTTCTTTTCCATGTAACAACTATGAATTTTGTTATCTTTTATTTTTGCTTCTTTAGTTTGTAAATATTTCAACTACGAATCTATTTACACCATCTATTGTCACCTTCATTCTATTTTTATACACTATTTTAAAAATATTTTTTATCATTTTAAGCTTCATCTTCGTTAAGATAAATTGGTCTACAAAAAAATTCAAACCCGATTATACCCACCCGCTTAAATCCGAATCCGTTTCAACCCGAACCGCCTCAAATCGAAAGCTCAGTCGGTCGGATATGGGTCACATTTTTTCAAAGTCGGTTTACAACGGGTTGAACATTTTTCACCCGAACCCGACCAAACCCACCCGTTGCTCACCCCTACATAATACTTATTATTTATATTATTTATCAAACATTGTACATAATAAAAAGTTCTCCAATAATTAAGTATTAGTTGTGTATTTTTTTTTATAATATTATTTTAACAAAATGATTTGCTGAGAAAGGTGAATTGGAAAGTTTTTTTTTTTTTTTTTTTTTAAATATTCGTATTGCACCTTGCGGTAAGTTTTCTATTATTGCTGTAACAGCTCGAGCGACTCGTGGGGTGTTATCTTGTTTTGTTTATAATGTTATACTAATAAAATGATTTACTGAGAAAGCTGAATTGGAAAGTTCTTTTAAAAAAAAAAAAAAAAAAATAATCGTATTGCACCTTGCCATAAGTTTTCTATTGTTGTTGTAACAGCTCGAGCGACTCGTGGGGTGTTGTCTTGTTTTGTTTATAATATTATACTTACAAAATGATTTTCTGAGAAAGCTGATTTGGAAAGTTCTTATTAAAATATTCGTATTGCACCTAGTGGTAAGTAGGAGTTTGCAAGAAATTAATTAATTTTTCTCATAATCTTAACTCTATTAGAACTATTTTTTTAATATCATCCTTTTATTAAATAGTCTTCTTTAAAATTTTAACTGCATAAAAATTATCCATCTTAATGTCATCCTTTTATCAAATTCAAAACTTTAGCTCAAAATCTTGATATTTGAGAATCAATTATAACACTAATTGAACCAACAAAAGTTTAAGATAGACAAAATAATGAGATATCAAAACATTAATTGATATTTTTTTTATATTTTCTTTTCTTTTCTCTCGCATGATTAATTATATTAATTATTATTTTTTCTCTTTTTTTCTCTCTATGGCTTGATATACGAAGATCTTTTTGCATAGATTATTTAAAGCTATTATTTTGAATATAACAATCACATTACCACACTAAAGAAGAGAGTGCTATAGAAGAATTATCTCTATTGAGTAACCTTACACAATTCTCTTCTAGCATATTGCTGAACAAATGGCAGAGGCAACAACAAATAAACTTGTAGAGAAATCTCAAGTTGCTCCAGTTACAACCAAAACCACGTCTCTTCCCCTATCATTCCTGGACTTAACTTATACAGGTTCTCGTTACTATGTGAGACGCCAATTCTTCTATGACTTTCCCCATCCCACACACATTTTCTATGAAACTAAACTCCCCTCTCTCAAACACACACTCTCTCTTACCCTTCAACATTTTTACCCTCTCGCTGGAAATCTCCTTTGTCCCCCACCACCCCACAAACCCTTCATTCGCTGCACCGATCATGACTCTGTCACCTTAACTGTCACTGAGTCCCAAGCTGATTTCAACCTTCTCTCATCCAACCACCCCAAAAGTCTCAAAGATTTGGGTAAATTGGTTCCCAACTTGTCATGCACAACTGTGCCTAATGACACGTTCGTTTCCCCATTGTTGGCCCTGCAAATCACGGTTTTCCCCAACTGTGGCCTTTGCATCTCGATCACGTATTGCCATGCAATCATGGATGGTAGGTGTTGCTGTTATTTCATGAAGTGTTGGTCTTCCATTTGTCGAAGTGGTGGAGTTGATTTGACACTTTTGGAGATCTCACCGCCATGCTTTGATAGGGAAGTGTTGAGAGACACCAAAGGACTCGAGGCCATTTTCTTGAGAGACTACTTTGAAGCAAGGTCGACATGGAAGGTTGGTCCAATTCCTAAACATGGAATTGATGATGAGGGCTATGTTAAGGCAACGATTACTTTTGGAAGAGATGATATTGAGGCCATGAAAAAATGGGCGTTGAATCAGTGGAAAAAAGATGATAAATTTCAAGCGCCGCAATATCTATCAAAATTTGTGGTGACGTCTGCTTTCTTGTGGGTTAGCTTGGTTAAAGCAAAATATAGAAACGACAACGAAGAAGAACAAGTAGAGATGATAGAGGACTACTTCCGTTTTGCAGCAGATTGTAGAGATCGCCTTGAGTACCCGATACCAGCGACTTACTTTGGAAATTGCTTGGCGAGATGTTATGTAGGGCTGAAGAGAAAGGACCTAAAGGGAGAAGGTGGTTTTGTGAACGCAGTGAAGGCCATTGTAAGGACAATAGCTGATATGAAAACTGAACCTCTGAAAGGTGCAGAAAATTGGAAGGAATTGTTTATAAAGACGTTTCTACCGGGACGTTTAGTGTTAGTTACAGGATCACCTAAGTTCAATGTTTACGAGACTGACTTTGGATTTGGAAAACCTACCAAAGTCGACGTTGCACATTCCAGTATGTTTTTGTCTTTTGTCGAAAGTAGAGACAAAGAAGGAGGATTAGAGGTTGGCTTGGTATTTAGAAGTGAGGAATTTGAATATTACATTACTGTCATTGAGCAAGGACTTGTAACATTAAAATCTTAAATAATTGTGTGCGTTGTTCGACAAAGGGCAACATGCAGTATTGCTACTTTAAGTTTTATTTAGGATTTGTAGTTCATGGTGATGATAGTTAAAATATGTTGTAGTATGCTGTTGACACTTTGGAATAAAAAATATGGTGATGGTATAATATTTGAACCTTATTATATGAAAAAGATGTGGAGTGCTCTGACAAGAAGGCTCCAATGGAGAATCTTAGATGCGGAGAGGTATTTTATGCACAGGCTGTGAAGACAAGGTTGGATGGAGAGTTATATTTTGTGTTGGCATTGATGATTTGAGACCTTAGTTTATGAGGTAATTACTGGTTGTCATTTTTTTATTTATGAGTATTACAAGTTTTAATTTGTTTATAATTGGGTGTGTGTCTTGCTAAATTAGGTTTTGGGATATTTTAAATTAATACTTCAAGATTTTTTAAAAGTGTTCAATCAAAACTTAATTAAATTATTAACAAGAGAGAACATATTTTGAAAATTAAAATAAAACAATACGGTGAGAGAAGGAATTAAATAAAACAAACTAAAAATTCATTTTTGGAATATCATATTAAATCAGAAAATAACATATTAAATCATACGTTATGGAAATAATTTATTTATCAAAGAATCTGTACGTTCAATTCTTGTCATGTTCAAAAATTTGTATTCAATTCTTGTCGTGAATAAATGTTATATACATTTTTTTCTTTCAAATACATATGTTCCCCTTCTTAAATTTATTTAAAATTTTCTTAAATACCTTTTAAATTTGTTTTAAATAAATTTTATTTTTAAAAATCATCTTGTTCATATACTCTATCTTCCTCCATTCTTTATCTTTCACCGGGTACTTTATCTTTCTCTAATCATTCTTTATATATGTTTCTTTTATTTTTTGCTCATATTTAATAATTTTTTAAACTCTTAATTTTAATTTTTAAACATTAACTTTTTTATTATATCTTTAATATTGGATACAAGGTTTTAAATTTTATGAAGACATTATTTTTAAATGTATGATTTATTGATTTTTCGATTTTGTTTTCTGATTCATAAAATATATTTTCAAAAAGTACTTTCTGAAAGAATAAAAATATTTCTCTTTTAAATTTTTTTACTCTTTTGAATATTACTTTCTGGAAGTAAAAAATAATTTCGAAAAGTATTTTTTAAAAGATAAAAATATAAATTTAGGAAAAAAAAATTTCAAAAGAAAAAAATGTATTTTTGAAGAGTATTTTTAGAAAGAGTG